ATAGACATACAAAGCTAATCAACCAATGCCTCACTGACAGTTTCTTTCAGCAAGGAAATACAGGACAATAGAACACCCCTGTTAACTATCCTGCATATACATATCTACAAACTTTCTCTATCTTTCCCTTCTCTTTTCCCATATCCCAGTTATCCTTTACCTATGAGTGCTTTCCTATCAATTCTCAATGTGAAAGAATTAAATTAATTAACATAAAGTGCTTAGCAAAGTGACTGGCTCGCTTAAGTACTTCATAAATGTGTGTTACTATTATCATTAACTGAAAGAGCCAACCAGTTGTAAATGCTTAAATCCAGGACCTTTGGTAGGCCCTAGTTGATTCTCCCAGAGGGGTGGATCATTTCCCATGATTGTCCAGAAACTTCCAGTAAAATCAACTCATCACAAGTTTACAGTGTTTCATCTTTTTAAATATCCTTGTGGCTATGTTCTCGAATGGAATTCCTGGTGTCTACTTCCATTGCAATTTGCACTGTCGAAGTTGCTTCCTGACCATTTTTGTTGGTTGTCCATCTTCCCAAATGTGAGAGGTCCAGAGCTCTCACGCCTTCTCCAGGGACTCAGAGACCTGTGCCCTCCACTCCCTGGACAAGTCCCATGACCCCTTTGCCCTTCCAAGATTTTTGTGTGGCCTTCTTTGCCATCAAAATAATAGGAAAAGCTTGTGGTCTGTTAGGTAAGGCTGCATCATATAAGTGAGAGAATAAAACAGTCTAGAGTTTGGGACCCATTAAAATGCTATCTCTTCCAAAGCACATTATCCAAATCTCATTCTCATGGGGTTACTCAATAATGCCCAATGATAAGAATCTAAAGATTCTCATTTAAATTAAATTAACATATTATATAGCCATATTTTCACTTGCTGTAAGACCCTCAATTATTAATAATAATGGAGGTAAACTTTTTCTGGGTAGTTTTTCACACATCAGTCCACAGGAGATTTGCATTTCTACTGTAGTGGAAATTCCAGCACGCAGTTGGAGAAATGAGTGGAGAGAAAAAGGCAAGCACAGGGCTGAGGAAACTGGCAAAGGATAATAAGCCTGTACCTGTCCCCTGAGGAAGTTTAAAAATGGCTGAGGGAGGGGCTGGGGATTTAGCTCAGCGGCACAGCGCCTGCCTGGCAAGCGCAAGGTTGTGAGTTCGATTCTTGGTACCAGAAAAAAAACAATAACAAAAAAAATGGCTGAGGGTGTTATGAACAATTGCATAGCTCCTGGAGCCCCGAGTTTCCAGTTTTGGTGGCCATTTAGCAGTCACAGTTGTTTGGGACTTGGTTGGTACTGCTGACGTCAGTCTTTGGACTGAAAGACAAATGGAAAGGGCTCCTTCATGCTGGATACAGAGGGGCATCGATCTCCCCAGTGCAGACCCAAGAGCCTCTCTGAGAACAGTGCCTCCAGGACCCAGGCATCGTTCAGAGGGCAGGTGGTTTGGGGACCAGGAGAAGGGAGGGGAGAGATGGTGGAGTTTGCTGACAGACAGCCCGGGGTTTGTACCCCTGCAACATACTGTCTGACCTTTGGCAAAGCACTCAAGCTCTATGAGCTTCGATTTCCAAACCTGTAAAGTGAGGCCAGGGTATGAGAAGAATCGAAAGCATCAGCACGTGTAAAGTTACTATCTTTACATGGACCAGAAATTCAGGAGGCTGCAACTAGCCCTTCTGTACCAGTTGAGCGAAGATGATCCTTTCTGTCTCACGCATACCTCCCTCACCTTTTTTGACATCACATAAACACTTCTTGGAGCTGGAGGAAATGAGAAGTGTCCTCTTATAAGAAGAGTTTGGAGTACTTTAATCTAAGAGAAACGGATCAGGTGGGCTGTCCTTCCCTGTCTCCCGCCCCTTGGCTCTGCTGGGCTCCAGTTCACAGGTCAATCCTAAAAGGACTGTTCTTCCAACAGGTTTGACAGCTCACTGGCTTCCCACCTCGAACTGCCTTCTGACTACTTGCCTTCTTACCCTGCAAATTATTCAGACGATTCTAAAACCTGGCGCCCTGTGGAGATCTTTAGGCTGATCAACAGATACCAAAATGAGGTCTCAGACAGGAGAATCTGTGCGTCCATATCGGCCCCAAAGACCTGCAGCATTGAGCGTGTCCTGAGGAAAACAGAAAGATTCCAGAAATGGCTGCAGGCCAAGCGCCTCACTCCAGACCTGGTGCAGGTGAGTGTGTGGGCCGTAGGTGTGTGGTGAGCACAGGGAGAGAGAGAAAGAGAGGAAAGGAAGAAGCCAGGGAGGAAGAGAGAGGGACAGGGAGTGAGAGAGAGGTCTATTCCAATCTCACATCTCCTCTGAACAAAAAAGGACACATTCTGGCCTGTCTAAACTATAATACAAACTATAATAAAACAGAGTTACTTGGGACAAGACAAACACTTAATAAGATTTATTTGTAGGGTTCTGTCCTGTTGTGATCTACCATTCTTTTTGATGTGACCCTCAGAGATTATTTGAGAAATTACTCCCAGGGGCCACCTCTAGGCGGAAGATCTCATAGGGTGACTTTTAGCAGCCCAGCCCCTGAAAGTCCCTTGGTAGCCTCCACCAATTCCCAGGGTAGGTGCACATCCTCCCACAGAAGTTCCCATATCTATCCTCCTTCACCATACAGACAGACCACTTTGCAAATCAGCTTCCTCTTCTGTCTCCCACTGTAAGGAAGGACCAAACTTCTGTCACTAAAGAGGCAGACTCTGACAGTACAGCACCCTCTTCTCTCTTGAGTGCTCCCCACCCACTGCCATGACTCTACTCATGGAGCCCGGGGGACTTCAGCCAGAGGGTGGTGCATCAGTTCCTGCCCGCTCTACTGTCTCCTTCCTTGAAACCAGCACAGCCACGGGCCTGCACACACACACAGCTGGGCCCTCAAGGTGGAAGATGCCACCTCTGAAGATTGAGCAATGGCTCACCTTCGGCGAAGATGGGAAAGCAGAGGCTCACCGCAACCTCCCTGCCATGCCAAGGCTTGAGGAGTGGAACTACCCTTCCTGTGGGGACGCTAAGACTGCTTCCCACCCTCCCTGGGCCACTACTGCCTTCACGTGGATGCCTAAAGTTTCCTGGCTTGGTCCTGAGCACTAACAAACCCTCCCTTGGCTTCTTCAAGATGAAGGACATACGGCAAGGAAGATTCACTGGCTCCTGGACAGCCCTTCCATGTAACAAGACTGGCTTTGCTCTTAGGTTGTGTGGCATGATGGGTACTTTTATGTGTCAACTTGATGTGGACATAGACCGCTCAGTGTTCTGAGTGAAATAGTACTCTGAGTGTTTCTGTGAAGGCCATACGCCACTCCACAGCCGGTTCTGAGGCTTGCGAAAGACCAATATGAGACTGTTTCTACTTTGCCACCCTGTGTGCTGAAGACCGTAGCAAGGTAGGCAAGGAATCCAGGAAAAACAGAGAACTTGTTGTTTCAGAACTTCTTGAAAATCCCGTGGCCTCTTCCTGCCTCCATATTTTCAAGTCCCATACTGCTAAGTACGGTCCCCAAGAAAAGACTACCTCCTCCCGGACCCGGACAACAGAGCAAAGGAAGGAACTTCCTCATGCACAAGATATATGAGATTCTACAGAAGGAGACTAGATGGGGCTTAGGCTTGGAAAGAAGGAAAAAATTACCTGTTGTCTTCTAGACACTCCTGTGATAAAATAGAGTAGGCATCATTTCAGGAGAACCGACAAGTCCAAAACAACCTGCCGGATGCAGTTAATGTCACTTATCTTGATGGATATAAATACTGGAGTGTAGGGGAAAGGTCCTTGGGGCCTGGGAACTATGGTCAAGTTCTAGATCTGCCACTAAAAGCTGTGGCAAAATGAGAAGGAGCAGAGATCCAGGAAGAACGGAGAACTTTTGGCTCTCATTCATCCAGTGAACAAGTTTCAACAACCGCGCTGCATCCTGGGGACTCAGTGACGAGTCAGACACACGCTCAACTCCCAGGAGCTTATGGCGCAGCGGTAGAAATAGACATGAGTATACGTTACCTCAAAGCAATGTAGTTGACGTTGCGACATTCTATATGGGGACAAGGGGCGGACTACTGACTTGGGTCTTTCATTTACTGAGGTGACCTTGAATTTAAGCCCAGGACTTCCCTACTCTGCTCTGACATTCCTGCTCCAAAAGTGGCTTGGAAAGAGGGCCGAGGGCAGTGGTGGGGAACCTATGGCACACGTGCTGCAGCGGACATGCAAAGCCCTCTCTGTGGGCATGTGAGCCAAGTCCCCCAGCAGCAGAACATCCGTTAACAGTTGTTTTTTCTAAACTAAAACTTCAGTAGTCAGGTTTAATTGCAGTGTTGGCACATTGTGAAAATAAGCAGGTTTGGGGTTGCAGTTTAGGCAGGCAGTCTCTAAAAGGTTCACCGTCACTGTCCTAGGGATAATCTCAAAGACTCTCTCAGCTCTGAGTTCTTTGGATACTGTGCTTCATTCACTTAGCAAATACTGACTGAATGCCCACTGTCACCAGGTGCCCAGCTAGGCCGCTGGGTTTCCTTGTTTCTCAAATGCCAGTAAATGGTAACTGCTCTGCTTGATTTAGTCATCCTAATGAATTTATAGATATGAAGATGCTACAACAGAAATGCATAGCAAGTAGCATTCTTGTAATAGGTGAGTCTCTTTCTTTATTGTGCTAAAATTTGTTCTACCTACTTTAGCATCTTGCTTTACATCTAGCTAAACGAGTCTCCCTCCTTTCTGCCCAAATGGCATCCATTAACAATACCTTGCTAAGATAGCTCAATCCAGAACCATTTAGGACCCTACCTTAACCCATCTGTTCATCCCCACCAGGCCTCATCTAGCAGGACCCAAATGCTGCTCTTTTCTTCTTAATAAAATTCACCCATCAAACAGTTTCAAATGGATCTGTCTTTACCAAAGGCAGAAGAAAAACCCTTACTTATCCACCCAAGGGGACTAAAAACAAGTGTTCAAGCAAAAACTTTTAATTAAATACTCAAAACAGCATATTCATAATAGCTAAAAGGTGCCAACAACCCAAATGGCCATCAAATGATGACTGCATAAACAAAATGGATTGTATCCACACTGTGGAATATTATACAGCCGTAAAAAGGAAATAAGTACTGATTCATGCCACACCATGGCTGAACCTTGCAAGCATGCTCAGTAAAACAAGCCAGACACAAATGGCCACACATGATCCCATTTATGGGAAATATCAAAAATAGACAAATTCATAGAGACAAAAAATAAATTAGTACTTGCCAAGAGCTAAGGGCAGGGGAAAATTGGGGGTGTGTGCTTAATGAGTGCAGGATTTCTTCAGAGGGTGATGAAAAGATCTGCAGTTAGAGAGTGATGCTGATTGTACAAGATTTAAAATGTACTAAAAACCACTAAATTGTGCATGTTAAAATGGTGAAAGTGGTGAATTTTAGAGCCAGGGGATGGGCAGCCAACCTAATAATTTAGTTTATGCCAACAGCTGGGAGCATTTCACCGTTGGTCCTCCCAGAAACCATGTGAGTATAAAGCCAATGTTGCAAAGTTTCCACTAGCCCCTCTCTGACTGTCTTGGACTTTTCTAATATCTCTGCCTCTGCAACCATGGGCTCCATATGTGTGAATTCAACCAACCACTGATCAAAAATATTCTAAAGAAACTAGGTGTGTACTAAACATGTACAGACTCTCTTTTCCTCGTCACTATTCCCTGAGCAATGCAGTATAACCATTCACATAGCATTCAGGTTATTGTAAATAATGTAGAGATGATTTAAAGTACAGAGATGGATGTACATGGGTTCTATGCAAATATTAAACTATTACAAATAAGGGAATTGGGCATTTGTATTTTGGTGTCCATGGAGGATCCTGAGACCAGTCCCCTGTGGTTACTGACAAACAACTGCACGTCCCTGTGTTCTTCTACTAAGCCCAGATGTGGCCTCAGAATCCTTCTCAATTATTTGCCAAGCAAGCAGCCTCTATCTTTGATCTCCGCTGGAATAAGATGAAATCTCTGAATGACCATTCACCCCAGCTTGGGCTGAACAGCTCTGTCCTATTTTTCTGATAATTCATCAGACATGAGTCCTAATTTCTGGTTTGGAAATTATTATCTTTTTATACTTACATGGGAGGTTCAGGGGCCAACTGGAGAGCTATTACGGGATAGACGAATGGTAGGGAGACACCCTCTTCCTTCCACTTATACCACAGGGCCCCACGCCAGCCCAGTCTAGCAGTCAGGCCTGCCCCCAGGATTCTCTGTGCTTGACTTATGTGTGTTTGTCCTGATTTCCTTAAGAGCCACTTTCCAACAAAGATCTAGGCCAGAGCCCCCAATTGTGTCCATCTGTAGCATGTGTGCATGCACACGCATCTGTGTTGGCACGTGCTTGGGGAAGAAAAAGAAGCCACAACACACTAACATGCTTTGCTCAGAAAACTGACAAGGCAGAGAGGAGAGGAGAAAAATATCAAAGAAATGAAAGTAAATTGAAGGGAGGAGGGGTGTGAATGGTTCAGGGGCCTTGAGGCTTTGCCTGTCAGTCCCATTTATGAATAAATAAAGTCAGCTTGGATGCAAAGTCCCAGTAGTCATCGTCACAGGCTGTCTGGGGCTCCCCTCCTGCAGGGCCACGTGCAGCTTTGTCTTAAGGACACTCTCTAGAGCCACAGACAGTAGGCTGCAGCAAGAGCTGCCGAAGAGGACAGGAAGAAGGGGAAAAAACAATGGTGTGTGTGTGTGTGTGTGTGTGTGTGTGTGTGTGTGTGTGTAGCACTTACACTAAGAAAACCATGACTTCTCTCCTCGGAAAAGTGCATTGTTCGGGCGGGAATATCCCACAGCCTAAATTACTACTTCACAAATAGAACTATAGCCAACAGCACCACTCAGAGTTTCTCATGACGTGCTTGCTCACAAAGAGGGCTTCCTCTGCTATTCTGCCAAGCGCAAAGAAGTAAGCACCCGAGGCAGCCCGCGGCTAATGAGAGGAAAGCACATGTCCTCCATGGTGTCCGCCTCTTGTCCTCTCGAGTACGATCCCACAGCTTCTGACGTTGTCCTAAACACAGATCCTATCCCTCCAAAAGGAATGAACTAGACGGCCGCGGAGCCTCTCCACCCACTAGATGGCGGTATAGAGTACTCCAGCAGCTTTGTTTAAAAGGACCC